CTTATCCATAGCCCATGTGATTGATTCAAAATGAATTTGAGGGTGAGAAAGTAAGGATTGATTGTGGGATATCTAATAGGGAGATGTCAGGAGAGCACTTGTAGGAGAAAGAAATACATGGGGCAGATAGGGGGCTGGAAGATTAATAGATATGAAGGCACTCCTAACAAAGTTGTTCTGGGAAAGATGTTAGAAAATGTCTTTGCACCTACAGTAAAAGAGGGATAAGTAATTAACGTTCTGAACATCTGCAAAGAAGAAGGGGGACTTAATATTTTCATGTTTCTTACAAGAATTATGTATGTGTGTACGCAAATGTATACAGATGGTTGGTCCCCAACTTATGATGGTTTGACTTATGACTTTTCGACTTTTGATGGTACGAAAGTGATACCCATTCAGTAGAAACCAGCTAGGCTAAGCTATGCTGTTTGGTAGGTTAGGTGTGCTAAATGTACTTTCAACTTAATATTTTCAATTTACAATGGGTTTATCAGAACGTAACTCCATCTTAAGTTGAGGAGCATATGTATATGCAAAAATGTAAACATACACACATACATAGGTATGCTGTGCGTGCACATGTGCATCTATACACCTTAAATAAAAGAATACAGGTATAAAGGGACTGTGATATAACGTGGATTAGAAGTGGCCCTTCTTCCTGCTAAACACACCCCAATGACAAACTAATATTTTGTCTAATATAGAGCCTAATATTTTAAAGCTTGGTGAAATTAAGCAGAGCATAGGCTTAAGAAAACATAGGCCATGGTTACCTTTCCATTTCTTTCTACTAAGAATGGATGACTGATTATTTTGGGGACATCAGGCCCTCACTTGCTATCCCTTATTTAGCTCATGAGACAATAAGGCACAAAATTAACCTATCCTAGGCTTGGAGCCATCCCTGTCCAACTTAATGAGAAACTAACTAATCCAAAAGGAAAATCGCCATTGCTTATACAGCCATAATGTAGATGCAACATGGCATATAAATCAGTAACTCTTGTATTGCAAAACAGACAAATAGATTAATGCATGTTGCAAAGGATGGGTGAAGAGATCGATAAGGTTACTGATTCAGACCATGAACTTTCTCTCAATATACTGCATTTAACTTTTAAATAAGGTTTAGGAGAACCTGTAACATTTTGCTCAATGACAGAGCTATATTTTACTAAGGGCAGAAATTGGCTAGTCTATAAAAATTAAATTATGCCCCTTTCACTGTATCTAGTCAACAGGAAAAACTCTAATTACAAGATTGCACTGTCAAACAAATGCAAATTCACATTCTTTACACCCTGGTTTTAAAATTTCAGATGGAGGGGCTTCTATTTTGAAATGAAAATCAATATTTGAAATATCTTTTGGAGTGCAAGGAAAAGCAAGAGCAAAAGAAATGTCATTATCAAGGGTGCTGGTAAGTAGCTGCTAACTCATTAAGTGCAGAGCTTGTGAGAACAAGTCATTCGTTATGCAAACATTTAAATATCAATTAGCAAGGACAATGAAAGAAGCAGAACCAGGAACCAAATCTTCCTTTCCCCACAGCTGTGCCTTATTACTCCAGAAATGACCAAGGGGATAAAGAGCTGTGGAAAATAATCTCAGCACCTAATAGGAATGCCACTCTGGGGAGTAGGTAAAGGTTCATTTTAAATGTACTCCTCAACTGAAAATTAAATGTACCTGCCTCAAGTCATAAGAGCTGAGTTCGCAGACTTAATCCAGAAAGGACTAACTGAAGGCCTGGGCATATTGCATCACTGGTATTTTTTGGAAAGAGAATGTTTTTCATTACTGTTTAATGTCAAACTTGCTTGATTCATTAAAATCTCTTAGTCCATTTAAAACACTTAGTCCCTTATTTTTCTATAATGCATATGAAAAATGGCAATCCACATAGCACTCAAACTTTAAACATTCTCGGGATGGTTCTCATAGTCTTTCAATATCCACTTCGTGGCCTGTCCATGCAACCAGTTCACTAAGCCTGTTAAGGTGAATTTGGCAGACATAGAAAGCATCTGAGTCTTAGCACTTTGCAAACTGGGTGGCATATTTTACTATATAAGGCAGTAAGTAGCTCAGGAAGCAGGTGCCTCCTAGTAACAGTTGGCTAGTGCACTTGGACCAGACATCTAACTTTTCTGGCCCTTGTCTTCCTCCTCTATTACACATAAAGGTTTGCCCAAATCAGCAGTTTGTAAGTTGGGGTCACCCCAGAGTCAATTAAGGAGCTTATAAAAGACCCATGGTAAGTATACCAGAGACTTACAGAATTGGCTTCTAGGTGCAGGGAAGGGGGCGTGGGGGAAGGGGACACAGGGGAAGGGGACACGGGGGAAGGGGACATGGAAGGGCGGGGAGGCACGTGGAATAAACATAACTCCCAGGAAGATTCAGATGTGTACCCTTAAGTGTGAGTCACTGGGCCCTTTCGGCTCTGATGCACAAAGAGTCTCAGAACAATATATGTTACTGATCAAACGAAGAAAAAAATTCTGACTTTGATTCCTAATAGTATCATTTAAGAGGCATTGCCTTCTTTCTCCAGGGCGGAGAAGTTGAGTCTGCAGTAGAATTAAGTGCTGGTGGGTTGTGGCTGCGGGAAACAAGGGCCTCGAAAGAGGACTAACCACCAGCTTGCAGGCGATACTCCAGGTAGAGCATGGAGGAAAGCGCCTGCGGCACAGGGCACACACTGAAAGTCAGCTCTTATTACTGTGATGATTGTATTACACTGGGGTTCCTTCACAATCAGCTTTAGGTGGGCTTGCCATTGCTGCCAACAAGAGGAAGGTTAATAGTCACTTATATTGATTGGTCTCTTTCAACTACGTGGAGATGAACACGGAAGTGCTTTGAAGTATCAGCCCCCCTGAACATCCTTTTGAAGCAGGAACATGCACTTGGCTGCTTTTTCTTGAACGCAAGCTCAGAAATGTTGTTTCTATGTGCACAGAGTTCGCGTCCTTCCCTTCATAACTGTCCTTTCCTTTGAGCCCATCGATGTTTCTGTTTCTCAACCTTCACAACTAAGACTGCCTTATTACTTCAGTCTCTGTGCACCCTTTGGATTATGACATACTCGTGTGGCCAGAGGTACCTGGTTTGGAGTCAAGGTGCCCACCTTCACCAAGCTCATAGCAACTTCAGGCCAGGCACTTACGACTATACTCAAGTGTTCCATGGATGAGACAGGTGTGATAATGCCGGCTCTGCCTTTTGAAAAGTGTGATTTGGAGAAGAGAATGAGGCAGATGAAAAAAACAAACAAACAAACAAAAACACACTTTGAAAGTGAAGTGTGTGGTGTTAATCTTAGGTACACTTTTAGAGAGGGAAGAAATATCTGTCAGAAAAAGGACACCTCTTCTGGCTTTAATTTGGTTCGTATTTTTCTCTCTCCTGTCTTAACCATATCCCAGGCTGTAGCACAGGATACGCAGGTAAGCAGTGGCCTAGAGGATGCTGAAGGAGTTCCTAATGTGTCCACAGCACAGCCCCATTTTTTTCTGGCTCTAATCTACTGCCTGGAAGAAAGCTGCAAACGTTCTAAAGTAACAGTAAAGGTTTCAGAGTGATTCTGACTAAAATTACAGCAGTCCCTCTGGTAGAAGGGCAGTACATCTTGGCTCAGGTAAAAGGCTCAGGAATGAAACACAAGTAGGAAAGAAAACTTGTCAAAATCACCTATGTCAACCTCGGCTAAAGAGTCATCACTAAGTTTTGTTTAGTTTTTGCCTTTTTAATAGCTGGAATCCCATCCCATATGACAACACAAGGCATGCTGCTCTTCTCGGGACAGGTTATTCTTGATAGCAACTATATTTCAGATGTCCCAGAAGGGCAATTTTGGTGAAAAGAATCTACACGTAGGCTGATAGGGACCTGTACAGAACAGCCTTTAAAACCACACACACATCATAGTACAGTGACGAGTGATATGGCCCCAAAGCACTGTGTGGTTAGCAACAAGGCATTTCCAGGTCCTTCTCTGAGAAAAAAAAAAAACTACTTTTCCAAGGAGCTGGCTTTAAACCATGACCAGTGGGTCAAAGAAGTCAAATAACGGTTCTGATGCCTTCACAGGGCTCTGGACAGTGCAGTTCAGCAAACTAAAGAGGAGCAGAGCTTTGGTTCATTCAGTAGCATTCACCACATGATGCTACTTGCCTTTTTTCAATATTCTGAAAATGACCAAGTCTATGTTTATGGGCTTGACCTTGGAATCAAAGCTATACAGTTCCACCCATTTCCTCAAAGTTCCAGTTGCACTTTCAGGAGACTTTGGTTTCTTATAAGACTATTGGGAGGGGTTGGGGAGCTCCACCTAAGTGAGGAGACTCTGGTCAGCTGGAGTGAATAAGCCAGGTTTGCTCTCACAAGACCCCCTTCTCCCTTGCATAACCCCAGGCCCTCTCATCAGCCAGCCAGCCAGACACTAAGCTTTGTAGGGCTGGGAACCACATTCCTTTGAAAGATCTTGGCAATTTGTGCTTGGAATTTGATGCATTAGTTCTAAAATTAAATAAAGATCCTGTAGTGTTCTTCAAAGAAATATGGCATGGCTCTATGACAAAACACATTTTTCAAGCTCTGACCTCTGGGAACTTCAACTAGCTTCATATTTCAGGCTGACTTTCCTCACAGGCTACTGTCTAGTTGCCTAAGTAGAGCTGGTTATCCATATATTTTCCAGCTTTTAGTAGAGGAAGGTGAGGGGAGTAAATAAAACGAAGAGAGCCACTCATCTAAATGCACAGTGCGTCCCCTCTTGAGTCCCTCGGGGAGAAGCCCTGGTAATTAAGTAATGTGATTAAAGTAACTTGGAACTCTTCATTTCCCCAGTACTGTAAAAGTCAATATGCGATAACCAGTGTGTACGCATTCAATCAAAGTCAGTCCCTTTTCCTGTAATTTTATGGCTCCCTCACTCCTACCCCTGGTCCAGGCTGGAGAGGGGACCGGGAGGGCTGCCGGGCTCTTACCCGCGCTTTGCTCCATCACTTCTTTCTGACACATGTCTTGAACGTTCACAGTGCAATTCACGATGAACTCAGGGGAAGAGCAGTCGTTGTTCAGCTGGAATTCTTCACACTGGTAACACTGGATTTGCAGCGCGAAGCCTGCGGGGCAGAGGCAGTAGGGTTAAGATCCAGCCCCGACAGAGACCCCCTCAGGAAACCACGTCCCTCCCCAGCCCCAGCCAGCCGCTGGGGTGCTTGCGGTTCCGCACCCCTGGGATTTGAGGAAGGCGGAAGTGGCTGAAGCCGGCAGGGGGCGGCGCCGATACCCAGGGTCCCGCGGAATAAAGTGGAATTCTGACTGCGATCCCTGGACCCACAATCCAAAAACAAAGAGCCGGTCCAACGCCACACCTGGCCTTTTCCCGCGGAAGTTGAAAGGAGGGGCATACACCCGGGAGAGCGAAGTAGCTCCTGTCTACGCCAAAGGATTTGCCTAATTGTTAATTGGTTACAAATTACTTAATTACTATTTTGGCACCATTCGCGATTGCATTCGCAGACGTCTTTTTCGTTTCATTTATTTAATTTTTGAAGTCAGCATTCCTGTGTTGTGGCTCCGAGGCTCCCTACGCGACCTCCCGGGAAGCTGGGAGGAAGTGCCTGACGCCAAGTGCTGCTGCGCCTCAGGTCCCCGGCCTTTCTCCGGGACGGTTCCTGCAGCAGCAGCAGGGGTGGCCGCAGCGACTGGGGAGGGGCCTGTGTGCGCGCGAGCGTGTACCCCGAGCCGCGACACAACAGCTCTTTCTTTCTGGCTATCAGGGTAACCGTTTGGCTAGGGTCCTTGGTCAGGGTCTCAGCCCTGCAGAGCTTGGTCGGGAGCGGGTAGCGTAATGGAGAAAAGCAGCGAGGCGTTTTTGCACCTGTCACAGCTCCAGCCTGGCTGCTCCACTCAGATCTACGGGCTCCTAACTAGACCTAACTCCCCAGGCTCCCGCGCAGATGAGCCGGGTTCCCAAGCTACCCCCTTCCATCAATCGCTCTCTAAGCGCAGCAACCCGGCCCCGGCGCGCCCCGGCCACAGACTGCCCAGCGCGCCACTCACCTGTCGGCGGCGCCACTCCCACGGGTTGCTAGAGACGCCCGACAACTTGGTGGGGTTTGGGGGCTATCTTTCACTCTCTCTCTCCCTTGGAGGCCCCAGCACTACTCGGACCCTTCCGCTTCCCGGGTCCAGCTTCTTCTCCCCACTGTGTAGCCCGAGCATCTGCAGCTAGAGTCCCGCAAATGCTTGAGTTCCGCAAATCCGCGGCTCCCGCCTCTTCTCCTGCAGCGCGGGACTTGGAGACTTTCCCACCTAGCGTCTCTGCGCACCAACCACCGCCAAACTCCCGCTGGGCAACCTCTACGCGGCACTGGTAGCCTGGCGGGTGGGGGGGAGAGGGGGGGTGCGAAGGAGCCGGCGGGCAGATGCTGTGCTCGCGCCTGGCTGGGCTGCCGGCCTCTTCGTCTTACCTTGAAGCAAGAACAATCCGCAAAAAGTTGCTGCGATGCCGAGGACCCACATCCTCCCGGAGCCGCGGGGCCGGGAGCGGGCAAGCGCCTCAGAGGCGGCAACCGCGGCGGAGGCTGCCCGGGCCGCAGCGGCTGTAGCTGCCGAAGCTGTTGGGGCTCGCGCTGCTGCCGCCCAGGCGACCTCCTCCGCCGAGAGGAGCCGCAGGTGCCGCCAAAGGCGCCCGCATCTCCCGCGCCGGGGATCCCGGCTGCGGGCCGCCGCTCTTCTTGCTGGCGCTCTCAGGCAAAGCGCGGCGTCTCCGGAGTTGGTGGCTGAGACTGAAGGAACTACTGGCGATCTGGAGCACCCAAAAAGTCTCGGCTCTTCTCCCCACCTCCCACTCCAGGCACCACGTGACGGCTGTTGAGTTGCGGTGGGGGTGGCGGGCGGGGAAGGCTGCGACCGTCTTTCCACGTTCCCACCTCCTTCCTAACACCCTCTTCTCCAGCCTCCGCACGTCCCGAGGACAGGGACGCCAGGGGGAGAGGAAGAGTGTAGTTTTCCTAGGCAGGGAGGCAGGAGATGGGGAAAGCTTGAGGGCGCAGCAGGTGCTGCGGGGACCGGCCGGGCTCCGACTGCCGGACCTGCGAGGTGGGGTTGGAAGCCTGCGTGCCCGGCGGGCCCTCTGCGCACAGGTGCGCGCTCCCCACGATCTCTGCGCTCCAGGGGCTGGCTGGTTTCCCGCAGCTGGCGGGTTCCTAGCTGCCCGTTCCGGCCCACGCAGCTTGGGCTGCGGTGTGGTGGGCGGGGAGTGGCTGCTTCCAGCGGGAAGCGCTCCTTAGCGTCTGGCAAAGTTGCACACCTGCAGGTGCCTTAGGATGTCCCAAGCAGCTGCTCATTTTCTTCCTCAGAGAAGCTCCTCTGTCATTACCAGGCTTGGCTTCAGCTGCCGCAGGGTGGAAGGGGTGTGGCGGGGCCCGTGCCCTGACTGGCGCGCTAGCTCGGGGCACCCCTCCTTTCGCCTGCCTGCGCTCACCACTGGAGGGTGCGGTGACACTGCCCTGGTAGTCTAGCCTAGGAGAGCACCGCCCAGGGGACAGCCGTCGCGAGCTCCCACCAGAAAGCAAATCGGGGTGAAGGGAGTAGCTCTCCTTTATCGCCTTCCTCCAAAAGGCCAGGCAGCTTCATCCCGCTGTCCTCAAAGCCTTGGGTCACTAGTACGTATATGCTCCCGCGTCCTCTCCTGTACCGCGCCTTCCCAGCCCAGGACTCGGTCGCTGGCTAGCGCGCCCCCTCCTTCCCCCCATTCCTCCTTTCTTGTTCCAGGGACTCACCTTGAGTCCTGCTGGAACGCCACCGTGCTACGCTCGCTACGTTCGCCTTCCTCGCCGCCGAGCCTTTGCAGCAGGTGGTACCGGAGCCCGCTGACCCGCTAGCCCGCTAGCCCAAGCGCCTTGGTGCCCCCGCCTCCGATCCAGCAACGTTCCCACCCGTCCCTCAAATCCCTAGGAAGCATCCATTTCTGTGGAAATAGCTTCATAAGCGTTGCCCTTCTTCCCCTTCGTCTCCGTCCACCACTTGGAGGCAGCTCTCGCAGGCTGGGACGCTGATAATTTATTTCCCCATCCTGCCAGCAAAGCAGGTCTGAAAATGGGCTTAAATGACTTTTTTGTAATTCCTCTGCAGACAGCGTTCCATATTTCCCTCGGCTCCTTCTCTCTCAGTACCCCCTTCTTTTCATTTCTAGTTGGTTAACTCCTGGGGACGTTGAAATGCTTTGACCATTACTCGCTTGTCTGTATACTCTGGTCTGACAATTGGCTGAATTACTATCTCCAAAGCAAGAGGGCCAATTTATTCATTCCTTAGGGGAATTCATCCACAAAACACGTGTGAGATTCATAAAAATAAATGGGCCAAAAGCCCCTTGAACAAGTTCTTTTAAGCTTTCAGAGGGTGTGATTGTGATAGGACTTTTATTCAGAAATGAAACAAGAGAAGTTTTAAAAGTCTGAAAGACAATGACACAACATAATTTTCATTTAAAACAACAAAATTCAAACATAACAAATTGCACAAATTTACCAAATAACACTGATTATACAATACTCTATTTAAAGAAACAAGTGTGTACTAAAGTAACCATACAGATCCTAAAAATATTTCTATGATACCTAATTTACAAGCTCCTGTACAAAAGCAATTATAAATAGTTCACATCTAGAAAAAATACACATAACCTTTAAAATAGAATTTATCCTTACATATAAACAGACTTTGTAGAAAAAAATGATATTAAAAAGTAAGAATTTTTTTGTAGCACCAACCATTTTAATTTTTTTTTTAAATGAACTTTGCAAATAGAAATTTGCTTTCATTCTAGATTGCCCAGATTTTAATAAAAAGAGCAGGAAGAGAAAAATTTACAAATAATGTTGATAATCATAGTAAAGCACTAAGTAGAAGAGGATGTAAAGAAATGTTTGGAGGGAAAACCTGTTATTGAAAATAGAATTAGGTCACTTCTAATACACATGTCTTCTGATCAGTGTCACACTTCAGTACCCTTTACATTTTTCATTAGAAGCAGACTTACACTTATTACTAGAGCCTGAATCTTTCTGGCAACTATTTTGAAGTTGCACTAGAATTCAAGTTTATATCAAATTGAGATTATGAGATGACAATGAGCCCTTGGTTTTTTGGCAGGCCCTACTTTAGGTTTACGGAGTGTACCCACAAAAATTTGAGGATGAGGACAATGCACTGAACAAAACTTTAGTTGGAATTTTTAAAAAATATATTATCAACTTCTAAAAGACTTAGTACATCATTTCAAGAGCATGGCACTGATTCAATTTATTGCTTTTTTTTGTTGCTACAAATATAATTTCTTTTCCAAAAAAATTTACAACTTCTGTACAAGTATTAAAAAAAAGTGCAAAATTAAGACTTCTGTATCGTGGGTATGTTTACTTTTAATCCTCATGAAAGACAACAAATGAAGTCTATTTTTATTGCCCTGTCTGAGAAGAAAGCTCCAGTGGGTTGCTTGCTGTGAATCTGACAACATAGGCTCTGGTGTTGGAATAGTTTATTGTTGTCATCTTTACCTGCCGCCTCCCCACCCCTGTTTCTTAAGTGCTCCATTTCCATCTCACTATGGGAAAGAAAAATTCCTTTATGCATCATTTGAAACCTGACTCGCACAGGAAGAGAAGCTATCATATAAAGAATCACTCAAAGATTCCAAATTGTCTACCCCCAGCCTGTCTGAACTACTCAAAGATGTCTCTTGATTTTTCTCTTTTTCTTCCTTTCGTCCTTCAACCTTGTTGAGAGAGTTCTTCTCTTTTTCTAATAAAATAACAGTATTGCTGTTATATTTATTGAATGACTCCAGGGAAATTTTAGATAATCTATTCTCAGGATCTTCTTTTGTTTCTTCAACTTGTTTCAATTTCTGCAATAAAAAGAGGAAAATATTAGAAACATATTTCTTTGGAAATCAAGTTATTCTATCCAATATTCAATTATTGTCTGTATAAAGTACAGTTTAAAGGGATAGAGAGAACCTACAAGTCTTTAACAAGCTTCTAGTAAAATTAAATGTAATAATAAAGCTAATTTTAGGGATAAATCAAGACTTTAATCATTTTGCTGAGATAAATAGGTCCCAATTTGCAAACCAGTTAAGTGCCACTTAATCTAATTTTAAATGGATCCATCTGAAATTTGTTCAGGTTAAGTGTCTTATTTTTCTTAATCAAAGTTTCAAACTACTCCATTTTCTTACTAAGTGTTATTAGTTATCTTGTTGCTAAGTAGGGATTGAATTTCAGCCAGAAGTTACGGTTATATGTAAAAAAACAAAACAAACCAACAGAAAACATACAAATCCCTTACATTGCCACAAAATGGTAAACTTATCCGAAGCACTGTTGTGTTTGTATTTTGTCCCTTTACAAGTCTTTACATATTTCAAAGAGATCTCTAGGTCTGTGGATACAGATTCTTGGAGGCCCAAAGGCTTAAAAATCATAGTAATAGGTCTGCACCTTCATAACCTCACCCCTCCAGGAGGTTCTAGTAAGACCAATTTCAACAGGGATATTTTTAAGATTTCACCAGTCATCTCTAGAACTTTATAAAACACTGCAGTCATATTTAGTAATTACTGTAGGTAATCCCTGTGAACATGAAGATATCCAGTTGCTCAAGTGGCTCCTAAGGTCTGAGGTGGCAGAGAAGAGGGAGGCACAGACGCAAAAAGCAAAGTGTGGAGGTGTTAGAGCTACTAACATTGCTCATCTTCTTTTCATCTGCCATGCAAACATTCCATCCAAACACAAGGAAGAAGCAGAGTCAGGAGCTTAGAGAAGATAATAAGAGCTACCATTTATTAAGCACCAACCATGTGAAAGACACTAAACATATTTTATCTATAAGCCTTTCAGAAACCAGCAAGTTACACATCTCCATTTTAAAGAGGAAGAAAACAAGGTTCAGAGTGACACGGTTACTTGCCCAAGGTCGCTCAGCAAGTGATAGAGAATAGTGTTTGAATTCCTGTCTGGCTGTCTTCCATGCTCTTGTTTCTACTAAACCATGCTCTTATGTAATAAAGGACAAGATGTCCAGTTTTTTTTCTTTCTGCCACGCAAATATTCCACTTAACTGGCCAAACCATCTGTACCGCTACTGTCCATGGCTCTAACATATGTAGTTTATTTCCCCAGCAATGCCCCTCCCCCACTCCCCCTGCCCCACATTGATACGATGGACATACAAATGTGCAATCAGGAATGTGTTTTGATTCGGAAGAAAGCAGACAGATCCAAAGCCTATGGATTCGCACATGCTAAATATTTAATAGAAAGAGAAATGAAAAGGTAAGGAAGTAGATGGCTTCGGTGTTCCGCGAGCAGGCTCAGACAGAGTTTCTCTCCCTGCTATAGAAATGGGTGTGATTCTATGGGAATATTTGAAATTCATCCTTGAAGTGGTGCTTATTTCATTATTCTATTAACATGCAGGAGCGTTACTCACAGCTAATTTTCAATCTGAAATGGCTGCCTTGGAACCAGAGGTGAGCTGAGGAGCAGATTCCTAGCTGATTACAGAAAAGTGACTCCATAATGAGGAATAACTCCAATACAAGAGTCCCTATTCATGTCACATTGATTTCTAGGAATTTTCAACAAAGAATTATATAGGACAATACTAAAAATACATGAAGAGAGAGTAGGAAATGCTTTGGTTGTACTAAATGTAGGTAAATAAAGGGCATCCGACATGATTGATGATCTCCTCACTTGAATAGCTTCTCCCTTTTTTTCATTCAAGAACCAAGAGCATTTTCTTTGCCTATTTCTGGTCCATGTGGAGCTCAGAGTCATTCAATAAACACTTGTTAGAGATGCTACCATGAGGCAGGTAGAAGGTTTTGGTGGTGAGGATATACAGTAGAATAAAATCGTGTACTGTGGCCTGGAGTTGGGGCCCTGGAGGCAGACAGACTTGGTCCTGGATCTCAGCTTTGCCCTTTTCACTGGCTTTGTCAGTACCTGGGAGCACACTTGCTCAGGTGTAAATGGTGATAAGACACACCTTTATTTCAGGATTGATATATTAGAAATAAAACACCTTATGGCCCTGACACATAGTAATAGGTGTTTTAAATAAATAGTATAATAAATAAATAATAGTAAGACAGGACTCTTATTCTAGAACAATGGTTCTCAAACTATATTTTCCATACCAGCAGCAGCAGTCATGTCGGAGCTTGTTAGAAATGCAAATTGTTGAACCCCACCCACACTTACTACATCAGAAATGGTGAGGTCCAGCACATTTTAAAAAAGCACACCAGGTGATTCTGGTGTGTGCTAAAATTTGAGAATCAGTGATCTAGAGGTTTGAACTTGTAGTCTTGGATGGCAGATGGACAGGCGAAAAGTATAATTCAGTGTTATTGAGACAGAGATGAGAAGAGAGGTTTATTTACCATTAAAACACCCACTGCCTGCCCACTGGATACAAATAATGCATCGTGTTTTCAAAATATGTCATGCTTGTAGGTTTGTTTCTTTAATTAATTATAACATCATTCAATTAAATATAACATCACCTACACTGGCCAGGGAGGTAACGGACATGAAGAAAAGGCCCATTTTCAGAAAAATCACATGGCCTTCCCAGTCTTCCTTTTATTTTCACAGTTTTGATGAGAAGTGGGTACAGAAATATTTTTGACTATCCGAAGCACATCAGTGCAAGAGTGACAATGAGGGTCAGTTGACATTCTGCCTCAGTGTTGGGGAGCTACAGGCAGTGGTTAAGTGAAGAGCATGTGTCTAGTTCAAAGGTGGGAGCAGCTATAGGCATACCTCCAAGATATTACAGAGACATTGCATGTTTAATTCCAGAGCACCGCAATAAATCTAGTAATAATCTTTTTGCTGGTGGAGGGTCTTGCTTTCAATTTATTTAAAAAAAAAAGGCAACATGTGTGAAATGCAATAAAGTGAAGCACAAAAAAATAAAAGTTATGCCTGTCTTTAGATCTAGCTTCTTGCTGCTGTGAAAAACAGGGGTCCAGATCTTCTGCTTTCAAGGTGAGGCCATAAATCTAGAACAGTATTTGCTTATATTTAAAATCCTTTGATTTTAATTATTTGTTTACATTAAGCAAAAACCAACAAAAATAACCCCCTCATGTATATGTCAAATCACAACCTTTACATTGTTTGAACTTCTGAGCTAGAATAGAAATCATATTTTATACTTCCTTTTTATGTCCTACCTGACCCCTTCATCCCCCTACCCCCACCACTTTCTTCCCAAAGGCCTACTAGCCCAATGCTAAGATGTCAGCAGATTCTCAATGGAGACTTGATGATGGATTGAACTTTCTCCAGCATCAGCAGAGTCTCAATTGTTGGCTTGAGTTTCCCCAGTGGTCCTGCCCAGCTAAGAATAAAAGCACAAAAGTAGTTTACTTCCCTGCCTGTAATTAGAAACATACCAAACTAGCCTCAACATTGTCTTGTCAGATTTCAGGTTTTTAAAATGTGGACATCACATAATATTTAAATGTAAAATATCAGGGATTGAGGTCAAACAGTAATGTGCTAATGATGTAGTCTGTTAAATGGTAACAAAATAGTGTGTATTAGTTTGCAGTAACCGTATGTGAAGGTGCTTTGCAAACGGATCATGGTAATAGCGGTGAGCATTTAACTGAGTGCCCGTTCTGTGCAGACACTCTGCTAAGCATGCTGCATGGATTATCTGTTTTTATCCTCACAGCAATTCTATAGGTAGGTGTTGTTAGTATCTCCATTTATAGGCAATCAAGGCTCGAGGAAGTTAAGGAACTTGTTTAAGGTCATGTAGCAGTATGTGGCAGAGTCCGGATTTGGACTGAGGCTGTCTGCATGCAGAGCCCAATTTCAGAAACTCTGTCCTGGAAAAGAACTTTACAAATATCAGCCAATATTATCTTCAAGGGGAACTACAATAAGAATTGCAGAACAATAATAATATTAATAACAAACATAGTGAAGAGTTGTGTTTGTCAATGATTGTGTAGTTTCCATAGAACATCTTCGTTTCCTTCATATATTATGCTCCATCAGAATTATGATAAAATTAATATACTACAGTTGTTACCTATAGGTGGCAACAGTTGTACAGTTCACTTTTTTTTTGTGGACTTCTATGGCACTTGGGAACAAAAGTAGGGTTAACCAGGGGGAATGAGAATGTATTTTACAGTTTAAAACACATAGCTTTGCATATTCTTAAAATATTTTCCTGTCTTTAGTGTAACCACGGTATTATTGATAACTCAAGCAAGAAGTAGATAGTGACAGAGTCTCCAGAAATCCCTTGAGAATTATGAATTAATTTCTTATAGTCAAACAGTCAGTCAAACTCATCTACTATGTGACTAGCTTTGTGTGAATAATCATGTGGTTTTGATTTTCAAAGAAAGTTTCATAGAAGGGGGAGCTTTTGGAAGTATTTTGAAGGGCGATAGGATTAAGAAATACAGTAAGTAAGAGGGAAGGCATTCCAAGAAATTTCCTATTGCATCTGTAGACAACTCCGTAGTCTATGCCAGGTCCAGTGGTTGCCCAGATAATCTGTTTCTTGCCCTTTTAGATTCCATAATGGACAGAATCACTGTAAAGACAAACACAGATATAGATATGCTTATCCCATGGGATTCTAAAAACCCCAACCAGACTCTGGAAAGTCTCAGCCCAGCTTATTACCTGGGGTTATAAATCATTTGTAACCTGAGTTATAAATAATAAATAGCTTTTATTTCCAAAGAGCTTTCCCATCATGATCTCACTGCTCTTACATCAGCCTGGAAGGTGAGGGAGGCTGGTGTCAGCTGTACTTTACATAGAGTATTTATGGAATTTGTGGCTCACACAAATTCAAATTCCG